GTTGTTTGGCGGGTGCGGGCTGGGGATTCGAACCCGCCACCTTAGGTGTACGTGGCTGGCGCCTTAGCCGGTTGAGCTATAGGCGCTGAGCCAGGACTGGCTGTTTTCTAGGCCTCAGATGAGGTATCACCTACCAGCATCCTTAGAATTTTCTTTGCTTTTCTCTTAAGCTGATTCACAAATTATCAGATTCTTGATCTTTCTGTGTCTTGGTGTATTCCCTCATGATGTTGAAGCACATCCTCCACGAGCTTTACGTACAATATTCATGAGTCATAAATGTTTGGAAAAACTGCATGTCTAAAATGACTTTATTTTACACTGCTTTGGATATTTCCTTAGACTCCTTTTGTTATTTTGGAAGTCCCCTTGTTCCATATTCACACAAATATTTGACACTGGTGAACTCTAAAGTTTTAATTTTAGCAATTCTAATGGTGTAGGTATTGGTGTTTCGTTGAAGTTTTTCAATTTTATGTCTCTGGTTACTAATGAGTAATCTCAACCCTTTCATGGTCTACCCATTATTCAGATGTCCTTTTTGAGATACGGCTATTAAGTATCTTGTTATCTTTTTTATTCCCTGCTTTTTCTTTGTTGTTTTGTATGAGTTCTTCATTTATTTTAAATATACTGCAGATATTAGAAATACTTTTTCCTTCTCTATGGCTTGCTGTTTCACACTTAATACTTTCAGTAAAATAAATTTTTATGTAATCCAATTTATTAATATTTTACTAAATGCTTTGTGTTTCACATTCAAGAAATCTTTGCCAGTCCCAAAGTCATGAAAATATTCTCCTATCTCGAAGTTTCATTGCTTTACTTTTCACATTCAGATGGGCAGTACTTCCAGGATGGGTTTTCTGTGACTAGTGTGCAGTAAGGGTTAAGATTCTTTATTCACGGCTCAGCGCCTATAGCTCAACCGGCTAAGGCGCCAGCCACGTACACCTAAGGTGGCGGGTTCGAATCCCCAGCCTGGACCCGCCAAACAACAA